CATTAACAGCAAACTGCAACTAATCTGTTAGTGTTTACAAGCAAGGACCAGGATTTGGAGGCATGCAACACATGCCTTTTTCATATGTAAAACTCTTTGTATAAGAAATTAATTGTGTGTGGGCAGCTTTATGTAAAAGGAAAAGCTTTGTTAATGGATGAAAGTCAGAGCTACATCACGAGGTGCATTCATTTCTCATATTACGAAGCATATATTGTTAAATACAGGGATTAAATTCTAACTTTAAAATGTTTTCTACCTAAATTGAAGAAAAGGTAAGGTGTAGACTTTAATTCAAAAATCATAAATATCTTAAACTCACAAAGTCAAAATTGAAATTCATCTTTCTTAATACATGTCAAATTATTGTGAACATCCAACCAATGTTTAACACCAACGAACGATTAAAACATGTCTGTAAAGCTCTTGAGTTTGCTCCATCAGCTACTTATATTTATTACAGAGTACAAATAAAGGCTTGTATATTTACATTTGCCTGATAGTGCTTGAAGTATTGTCCATCCATCCATTTTCATAACCACTTATCCAATTCCATTGCAATTGCACACAGGTGGGCAGGAGCCTAAACCATCTGTCACAGGGCCAGAGGCAGAGAACACCCTGAACAGGTCACTAGTCTATGGCAGAGCTAACACAAATTTACAGCCAATTTAGAGACACAAATGAATGTGTGTCCAGACAGAACCCGCAGAGGCACAGGGAGAACATGCAAACTCCAGACAGAAAGGTCTCAGCCAGTTAGTTGGGTTCAAACCCAGAACCCTCTAGATACTAATAACTGTGCCACTGTACCAACTGGAATAGTTCTAAAGAGCAAAGTTTGTACAGTTTATGACTATAACATAACATATCGCCTGTGGTGCAAAAAGTTGAGCTTCAGCATGAGTGACGTGTCAGCTACGATAGTTGTGGATTCTGTCATTCATTACCAAAAAGTCACAACTCATGACAAGTTATTTATTGGATTAATACACAGTCATAAATCTGAAGCTTACGTTGGCTTCATTTGGATCATTTCCGACTACGTTGTGCATGTTAGCAAAACAGCCAGATGATCATTATTGTCAGCCAGAAGGGTGGTGTTCAGTAAAGGCAGCTGGAGGTGAGTTAGCAGTGCCTGATGAAGAGATACTACAGAGCTGGGGGTAAAACTGGTATCTGAAGAGTACATGCTGGTGTTTGAAGTCAGTCACCTGGCAGCTAAGTCACTCAGCGGGGTCTCCTCACTGCCGCAGATCAAAGATCATCTGTGCTCATGCTTACAGGAATCACAGAAATAGATAGCAGCCCACGCAGGGCATTAACAATCTCCCAACATTAAATATGGAGAGATGACATACTGCATTCCCCAGTGCATTTTTGCAATTAGTATTTGGTTTAAACTAAAAATGTAATGCCCTTTTTGGGCAAAGAGCTCCTTCAACTAAAATTTGATTGATCATTTTGTTCATTTCTTTTGGCATTTCAAATGCATCTCAATAACAAGAGGATAGCAGCAATTAGACCAATCCTTGGACACTTCCTGTAGCTATTCCTGGGGATCCCAGAGTGTTCCCGTGCAGGAAGAGATAGACAATCACTATAATGTAAACTTGATCTGCTTTGTGGTCTCCACCCAGTTCAGCATGCCAAGAATACCTCCCTTGGAAACTCAGGTAGTGTCCTAGTCCGGTGTCTATACCACATTAGCATTCCCACTCAGTGTGAAGTAGCAGCTGTTCAGTTGTGAGCTCCAGCTTTATGTATAAGCTCCTTACTCTGTCAGTGAGTCCACAGATCCCAAAAAGAAAACTCTTTTTGGGCCAACTTTATAACCTTTGGTTACTGGCCAGAAGACTGACTGATCATAGGTGAGAACAGGACCCTGCACTGGGAAGCTGAGAGTATTGCTCTGTAGATCAGCTCCTACTGTTCAGGAGACAGTAATACAGCTCTAGTATCAGTCATAAAAAAACAAATATTTTTACCCTGTCATTGTGCTTTGTGTGTGAATTGGGTAACACATGGTTACGCTATCTCGATCGATAGCGTACCTTCATCATCATGAATCACTGCTACTGCAGCAAAATAGTTTTACTGATTGGTCCCTAAACTGTTGGACAGTGACAAATTTTGTAATTTTGCCTCTGCACACCATCACAGTGGATTTTAAATCAAACAAACTAGATCTCATTGAAGTGCAGACCTTCAGCTTTCATTCAAGGGTTGGAAAAATTTTACATTGAATGTTATATTGGCTTTTATACAAAGTCACCATTTTCAGAAGGTTAAAATGAATAGGATGGCTGATGCACAAGCAGTTTCATGGCCAGGTGAAACCTTTTGCCTTCCGATTTCATGACAATGGAAGCAGACATATCAGAAGTTGATTCAACACATTAAATATGAGGTCCAAAAAGATGCAAAGTGCAAGCGAGGGAGGCCATCATTTGGCTGAAAAAATAAATAAACCATCAGAGAGCAAAAACTTTAGGAGTGGCTAATTCAACAATCTGTATGTTCTTAAAAAGAACGAATGCACTGGCCGGCTCAGCACCATAAAAAAGGTCTGAGAGACCAAAGATGACAAATGAAGTGCATGATGACCTCATTATTTCTAAAAACAGCAAAACAAATATCAAAAGCTCCATAACTGATCAATAATGCTTCTCAGTGCAAATGAGCCAAAGCGTACTGCAAAAGCAACCCAAGACATTCTCAAAGCAAAGAAATGGGATATTGCTAATGGCCAAGTCAGTCACGTGATCTCATCCCAATAGAGCATCATTTTCAGCTACTGAAGACAAATGTGAAAGAAGAGCGAGCCACAAATAAGCAGAAACTGAAGGGAGATCCATCAAATACCTGGTAGAGCCTTTTACTTCAGGCAGTTACTGACTGTAGAGGATTTTCATCCAAGTAGTTATGTTAGTTATCGTGGGAACCAAGGAGGCAAACGTAAGTCCAATACATCAAACACTGCTTTGTCTTCTCTGGAAAATATGTATCTCAAAGTTGTGAATAATATTCTTACATAAAATATAATTGTATCCTATTTGACATTTCTGAGATGTTTTACCGTAATAGTTTTTTGAAGTTTAGAGTTTTTGACAAGTGTCTGTGGCTTTGACTGTTGACCTCCAAAATCTAATTAGTAAATCCTCCAGTGTGGGACAGACATACAACCTGAAAATATAATGTCTGTATACTGATGCTGCTTTACATTTGCTGCTGACTGAAACATGTCTCCAGTGGAATGTCTGTAAGATGGTCTCATTAGTGGATTTTATGTCTTTATGTGATCATAACTGTGATTATGCAAAGTTACTATTGCAAGTAAATCATCACATGATGTCAAATATTAACAACTCCGCCCACAAGCTGCCAGGAGAGATGCTCCAACAAACTAACTACTTCATTAAGCCGTTTCCCAAACAAAGTGCTCCCTGCTCCATCATTTAGAAAGTGATTTACTGCCAGAGGAAGTAATACTAAAAAGCATGTCAAGTGAAATGACATGGCTGAGAGCAATCCAAGTACAGCTGAGCTGCTAATATGTTAGAATATGCTAACATAGTAACAATAAAGGATTGGGTTGATTGGGTTAAAGGATTGTCAACTACTGCATATTTGTCTTTGCCCTTTACACTACCCAGATTTCATTCACGGAGATCACGAGTCATATTTAATCAATAAATATGACAATATTTAGTAGTTGTTCAATACACTTGTATAGAACTGACTTTACACAAATACACACACACACTTTATAACATACACCTGTTTTACTGCTCAATAATACCTAATCAGCCAGTCACATGGCAGCAGCTCATTGCATTTAGCCATGTAAATGGTATCAATGGCATCAAGACATCGACTTGCTGAAATTCAAACTCAGCATCAGAATGGAGAAGAAAGGTGATTTAAGTAACTTGGAATGTGGTATGGTTGTTTGTGCCAGACAGAAGCTGCAGACCTACTGAGAATTTCCAAGAGAAAAATATCCAGTGCACCTCAGTTCTCTGATTAAAAATGTCTTATTGATGCCAGAGGTCAGAGGAGCATGGCCAGCCTGTGGTGACCTGACAGCAAAGCAACTGTAAGTCAAACAACCACCTGTCACAGCCCAGCTATGCAGTACAGGATCTCTGAATGCACAATACACTGAACCCTGCACCTAAAAAAGTGGCCGGTCAGAGTGTGTATGCATGTGCAGGAATGTAAATTACAACAAAAAGCATCATCCACTGCTAACAAAATAAAAGCAAACCTCTCTCACATAGCACATACCCGTGTAAACCTAGAATTGTCAAACATACCAAAGCATACAATCAAACAGAAAATGTGCCTTGTGACTGTTCATTAGCAGAGGGGCCTTCTGGGTCATGGTGTCTGGCTTAGATAAGGGTTTGAATTTTCATTACTCTTGGTTTTCCAGTTTGCAAGAATATCTTATCTGCCTTCGTGTGCTTTTATAATTGTCTGCTCTTCCTAATTGGTTCCACCTGCACCTCATTAGTCCTGTGTGTGCGCGCAGTCTCGTCCCCTCCCTCAGTTTGTATGTTGACTAACTTCAGGTCCCAGGTCATTGCTGCCAGAGTTTTGGTTTCTTTTTGGATTCTCTATCATTTTTAACCCTCTCAGGCTCAAATTAAACTTTTTGTTGCTATTCCACACAACCAAGTCCTGCAGTGGTACTTCTGAGTAAAAAACACTCATAAAATATGTATGTGGGGTAAGCAGGTTGTTAGTTTTGAACTGTTGCAAATCGGCAACGCCTGCCTTGAGAGGGTTAACAGGACTTTCTCTTTGTTCTCTGCAGCACCTTTTGTTGTTCTCTTCCATGTGAGTTATTTCTTCTTCTTTTTGGTTGTTATATTGACCACTCAGCTTTTTTTTGCCTGTCTGTGCTTGTTTTTCATTTTTGAACTCCTAGTACTTGACAGTAAACCTGAAAGCTGTTGCTGACTTACAGTAATAAATCAAATAGCCATACTTACTGAGATGATGGCAGCCAGAGTCTCTATGGCACCTGTGCTCAGTGTGATGTAGGGAAGTATGCTCTCAGTAAAGCCTGCTTCACGAAGAATCCCATTGGTATAATACCAGATCTAAAAAAATTAAAAAGTACCATTGGTCTTGGTTTTCACAACAACAACAACATACTCATTTATCTATATCTTTACACAAAACTCAGCAATCCTGTTCGCTTCAGAGCTGACACACAAAACTAAAGTTGGCCTACATTCTCATCACATTTAGAATGAGATGAATTGACATTAAAATGCAACAAGCTTAACACCTGCACTAATATTGTTAAAAACACAAAGAAAGACATTAAAACCTTTGAACGTGTTTTACAGAAGGCTGAATAAGTGCGAACAAACGGAAGCAAAGTGAGAAAATACAATCTAGAGTTTTAAAAACTGCTAGTGTTTTTGCATTTGTGTGTGAATGTGTGTGTGAATGGTAAATGGCCTGTATTTGTATAGCGCTTTACTAGTCCCTAAGGACCCCAAAGCGCTTTACACATCCAGTCATCCACCCATTCACACACTGGTGATGGCGAGCTACATTGTAGCCACAGCCACCCTGGGGCGCACTGACAGAGGCGAGGCTGCCGGACACTGGCGCCACCGGGCCCTCTAACCACCACCAGTAGGCAACGGGTGAAGTGTCTTGCCCAAGGACACAACGAGCCACAATCACCACAACATAAGCTGCAGGAAGCTGAACACAGCTTCAACCGTCTGTTGAAAAATAGTAACGCAACTGACTTCAGACTCCCAACTCTTGAGCGATCGTGACTCAAGAGTTGGGAGTCTGAAGTCAATTTTAAAGTAAGTTTTTCTCAGTCTGTTGTAATTAGCAGCAACTTTCCTCCAGGTGAAGGACTATTCTTGGCATTTATAAAGCCAGCTCAGAGACATACCAATCATTGACACTCGAGTGCAGTGCAGCACAGCAGGTGAAGGATGGCTAAGCATCTTAGTCTGAACAAAGTGCACAAAATATAGTGACTCACAGCGATTCTCCACAGCCACTGGGTCTCCTGCACAGCGCTGTACATAAACCTAGAGTCACTTTAATTAGGTTAACGGTGCACAAGCGCTCTTGTTTTTTTCTGTATTTACACTTGAACCTTCTCTTTAAACTTTTATAACAAAATGCAGTTCAAGAACTATGTAATTAAGCAAATGACAGATTTAAAACTTGATTTAAAAAAGAAAAAAAATACTTGACTTCAAAAGTGATGAAACATACAAGGATCACACTTGTGAAAGCACAGGCACAGACCTCAGTGGGTTAAGTGGTGGAGTTGTTACCAAACCAGACACACATAATGGTTAAATAACAAGGTAAGGTAAGGTAACAAAATTTTACTGGTACACTTTGGTCGCGTTGTCGCCTTGAGGGCTAGGAATGCAAATCAGTACAAAGTTGTGATTGATTGTCTTTTATTCTACCCTGATGGGTGGGTCATCTCTTCCAAGATGACACTGACCCATTTTTGGACTGATGTGTTAAACAGAACTTTCTCCAATGTGATCAAAAGCCCTCGTGAGGCAGTATGTCACTTAAAGAAAGCAGTTCCATCCCTCAAATAGAAATCACGAAGCCTTTTTCTCATGCGGCAATTGGTGGTCGAACACTTTACTCGTGCATTTTCTGTTCCTTTTTTTTGTCTTTAATTCATCATCAGTGTTTACTGCAATATTCTCTAGCCCAAGCCGAAATCAGAAAAATCAGAAAACAGCATAATTGACTGGGAATGTACTCCAGAGTGCCAGAATAGAGCAGAATGACAAGTTCTCCTGTTGGAGTCTCTCCAGTAGAAGAGGTAACACTTATCACCTTCCTGCCTGGGGAAGGACCAAGGCTCCAAACTTATTAACAAGGTCTAGGTGTAACTCTCAGAGTGCCAGATCATCTTTAAAGATATATTGACTGTTTGCTTTCAGAATGGTGTTGGGGTGGGGTCCTTATAATGAAATATTTACACAGAGCTTGCATTATTGATTTGGTGCATCTGAATCTATTTAAATGAATAATAAATGATCTATAAATACAGTCAAATGCACTGTGAAATAGCATAAAGGGAGCTGATTCCACTCACAACCTGAGAAAGGTAAGTTAAATCAAAAACTTACTGCATTGAGGCCACAGAGCTGATAGCAGGCCATGGTGACGATGACAGTTATGAGCTGCCAGCGAACAGCTGGGCTCTTCAGCAGCTGTAACACAGAGACGGTGTGTAGTTTGTCCTGAGCTCGAGCCTCCATGTGGACCTCTTCCAGCTCCTGGGAAACATCCTTCTTTCCCAAAAATCTCTGAAAGGCTTACGCACAAACATTCAGACATACAAGCGCAACAGCGTTAAAAATATCGACAGTGCCATAACCCTCAATAACAACCATCACGCTGAGATCAAAGGACCTAACGATTTGTTCCACGGGCGAATGGGAACATATTGCTGTAAATGGAGCAGTGAAACTTTGAAAATGCAAAATTTCTATTGGTTTATCAACGGTACTTAAAAGTGAAGTAAACTGAGCCCCACACTTTTGTTATTAACAGGCTGCATTTCAACCCTGACATTATGTCCAGCCTTTTGGCTCTTTTTACCAACATAATGTGAGCAGGTAGAAGTGTGAGCTGTCACACGGCTTAACAACAACAAACAGCATTGAGAGCGCACACCTCCACCAAGGCAGCTCCTTCTCTGGGTAGTATTTACCTTTAAAGGGAATCACATTGTATTTTGTAAACATTATGTAGGAGTAGGTAATGTGTAATAGGTATTGATTGGTAAATGGTAAATGGCCTGTATTTATATAGCGCTTTTTACTAGTCCCTAAGGACCCCAAAGCGCTTTACATATCCAGTCATGCACTCATTCACACACACATTCATACACTTGTGATTTGCAAGCTACATTGTAGCCACAGCCACCAGGGGTGCACTGACAGAGGCGATTCATAGATAACAGGAGATGAATAACTTTAGCCTATTATATGATATTATACTACGGTATTTCTGTATCTAGACAGCTCATTCTCTTTCACTCGACAATGCTTTCTTCAAAGATATAACATGCGAAATGCAAACGTAAGGTCAAAGGTCAAATGTAACATTATTTGGATGCAAACTATGTGGCATTTACCCGAAAAGGTTGATTCTGTTCATCTGGACGTAGTGTTTTGAATGGGAGAAACGCTACGCACTCATCCAATTGACTTCTTCAGTCTCAGCTGACTGCAGGTTTCCCCAACCTTATAAACAGTACAGAGAACTGACCTCACAGCCCAGTGCTCATCCAGTGGGCTGGTTTCAGTTATTATGCAAATGTACTGTTTACAAGGTGACAAAAGATGAAACGTGTCTCCCATTGAAAACGTTACATCCAAATGAACAGAATCAACCTTTTGGGATTTACGTAGCTGGATGATTGAGCATGTATCCAGATATGTGGCATTTAGAATCTCCACATACTTGTAATAATACCTAATAAACCTAAATGTCACCAATACAGTAGAATTAGAATTTTTTCACCACAAAATTCTAAAAGTCAACAATAATTATTGTTGACTCATGTGACAACTTCAATTCTTCCCATAGAGAATGATAGTTGCGTCACATTTCTATGGCTTGAATCAATTGAAAATCACAGGTTAAGTAGTCAGTCAGAATAATAACTATGTTAATAGATATGTCGTTCTCTTTTTGCTGAAGGTACAAGCAGGTTTACATAAACTTGTTTGCCTTACTTTGCCATTAAATTATACAGCCATGGTGACAACAAATCATTTTCAATTTCCTGCCATTCCTTTTAGCTCCTGTGACCAGCATCTTCTTCATAACAATGGTGGACGGGTCTCATGGGTGTGGCAGTAATTAGATTTGGAAGCTAAAATAATTAAAACTGGCCACAACAACACAAACCTATGGAGCTGTTACATTACAGGACAGAGTCCCGTGTGTCATTTTTCAGTTTTTTTAATGATTGGTCCCTGTTTTATTTATATATTGTGAAAAAAATATAATACAACATATAATATTTGAAAAACTGACTTGGATAACAGCATGAAGAAAATGCATTCAAGATGGAAAACATATTTTGCTCGTTTAAAATCTAAAGATTTGTTATATCTACAGGCCACATTTTCCCTGTTTCAATGCTTTTTCTGGGATACATAATTCATCAGCATAATAATACACTCTGCTGCAATGCAGATGACTCTCAGACCTCTTTGTTTGTTGGCTGTAGTGATTTAAGTATCTATCACATTATTTTGACCTCTGCTGAATGTAAAATAGGTGAGATTTTCTTTTTAATTGCCACAAATAGATTTTAGAAACACATATCATCTGTGACTAGATGTCGATGTCCTACGTACTGCCTAACAAGTTTATGCATTTGTTATATAATATCGACCCAATACAAGACAGATTATTTACATTTAAGTAAGTTTAATGTCTTTTCTTTGTGTCAGAATGAAGCAGAAATCACCACACCTTTTTTATTCAAGCCGAGATGACTGCTAACCATTTTCTGTTATTTTTAGCTCGGCCATTTGAAGGTTGTTTGAACTCGTGCCTTCTTGGATGCAATAGATGGCAAAGAATAAGTGGATGGAAAGACTCTTTTCTCACTTTGAGCCCTTCTCTTGTGAAGGTTAATCCCTGGAGTTGAGGGCAGGTCAACTAGGCACGAGTTTAGGACACAGTCCACGGGAGCAAATCTCTACAGTCAAGGACTAAAAGCAGGTCATTAGGATGTGGAAATGAAATGACACGCGGTGCAGACGCTGCCCACACAAGATGGAGTCGGCCAGTGTCACAGTAAAGGCTGGGCCATGATTTCTGAGGCAGGAAAAGGGAAGCATTTAAAGTAAAAATACGTGTATCTCTGCTAAACCAAATAATCAAGCAAAAGAAGGCCAGTTAGGATTTTGATACTGATATAATATAGAGAAAAGGGTGAGAGGGAAAAAAGAGAGAGGACATTCTGTCCCCAAAAGTGCAGGTTGTGTTATATCAGTGCAGAATACAGATATATGAAACTCCAGTGAGAAATTATGATACTAAAACATAGCATAATATAGTTACTTAACTCACCTATCGACAGCCCAGTTGACAGCTAAATATAAAAAGATATTCCCAGCAGTTTACATGGAAGCCCAAAATCTAAAATCCATTAACTACAATGGTGTGATCTCTGAGACAAAGTTTAGAAAGGGAGAGAAAAGAACCAACAAGCTGAAATGATCAGTGTTATCAATGTAACTTCATGTAATTCTAATATAGATAGAGCATTAAACACCACTCGCTGCTATCCGAGTAGGTGTGACTTGATATCGATATCTGTTGGAGTAAGGTGAGTTGTTCAACAGTGTCACTGTCCCCATGCAGCCATCCTGTGTTACTGAGAACTGCAGGGCTCCACTCTGTGTCACTGTTGTGACCAAAGACTCACAGTGCCACAAGGTGGAGGGATGTGGTGCAACAAAGGAGCTTTAAAGAACCATGATGGGCTTGTCGGTTCTGCAGTTTTACACTGGCAATAAAATCGTCATGGAGACAAGTGTGAAACAGAATATTTAAAGATAGTCTCAAGGTGAAGTAAAATGTTGTGTGTGTTAGGATACAGCTGCCAGAATTTAAAGGTTGATGCTGCTGTATTCTGTGTCTCTGCCTGTTGTCAACATCCATTCTCTTCCACTTATCCAAATCAGGGTCACAGGGGAGCTGGAGCCTCTCCCAGCTGTCTTAGGGCAAGTGGCAAGGTACACCCTGGACAGGTCACCAATCTGTCACACGGCTAACACATAGAGACAGGGAACCATTTAGAATCATCATCTTTGGACTTTGGGAGGAACCCAGAGTACCTGGAGAGAACATGCATACTCGACAGACCCTGGCTGGATGGTGGAACTGACCAACTGACCTTACTGTGAGGCAACCGTACTAACCACTGTTCAACCATGAGGCGACCTACAAAAATGCTTAAAAGAAGCAATGCATAGCTCACCTCTCTGTGATACCTTTAAATTGTAAATTATCTGTGAGTAGAAGTTCTGCAAGCATTGCACTGGTTGCATTTTACTTTACTAAATAAAACAACAACACTCGTCTACGAGGCCCATCAGTTTCCCTAAAAAGTCAGATATTGTAAGTTTTAGTAATATCACTCAGTAACTAAGCAGATCATTTGTTGGGGAAAGCATTGTGTGTTAAATTAAAGTCGTATGCCCATGAAAGGCACTTGTAGAGACAATAAGAAAGCAGGAAGTCTTTACCCAACCCTTCATCGCTTCGTCAGTTATTTAATGTTAGTATGAAAAAGCTGCTTCCGGCTTCACCCTTGCCACAAGGGGTGATGACAGCCGGTAGGGCTTGCACTAGTTGTTATGCACTAGCTGCTCTTCCTGAAAAAGCCCTAAAGAGGATTTGAGTCTCCAGCTGGGATTAAAACCAGCAACCCTTTCCTTGCCAAGCAAATGTGTTAACCACTACACCACTGGAGACACACTGTTTTAATCCAATTGTAATAAAACGTAAGACAGAATTATATAAATAAAAGATTTAGAAACTTTAAATTTATAACATCATGCTTCTCTGCAGTTGGTTTCTGGACTTGTTCAACTCTCTTTTTGTCTTTTTTGTAAGATAAAAGCAACAAAAACACATTTCTTTGGTTCTAACTTGCTGGAAATACTCAAGGTAGGAATTTATTACACAAAGGAAGCAGCAACAAAAGACAGATGGCAAAACCAGAGCTAAACAAACAGTGTTCCATCATGAGAGGTAAGGGTACTCTCCTTGAATTTTCACATAAAGTGTGCAGAAAAAAGACATCGCAGAACTAGAATGTGTTTTCAAAGAAGCCCATAAGACCAACCAATTATTATTATCACTACTATTTGGTAACATGTCTATTGCTGCATAATAAATCTGTTTATTCCATTTAATTGTATTTTTGATGATTAATTTTCTCATGTGACACCATCATCATAAATACTGCTTTGTCCTCTGAGACCTTCATGCACAACATGTTCAAAAGAATCAAAGATCATGTTCAATTTTACAAAGAATAAACTGTAAGCCACCAAACCTTCAGAGATTACCAATCTATAATGTATGGACGCGGGCATGAAACAGCTCAAACCACCCCAGAGACCAAATTCATTAAAGTTTTGTTTGAAATTACATTTTTCTTTATACTTCATTAACACATGTAGTTTGAGCTACGTATGCCTTTAATCCATGCTGTGCCTCTTCATGTCACAGCATTTATATCATATTCTTTTTTTGAAGCTTGAAATATTTGTAATAGTT